GGTAATTCCAGGATTAAAGTGAACCATGGAGTTTAGAAACGAGCGCAGAGGGGCTTGGTTGTCTAGCGGAGTCTGGCTTGTGGTGATTCTGGCTGAGCTCATCCGGTGATCAGGACTCCCGGTGGCTTCCTACTTGGTGCCGTGCATTTATTGATTCTCTAAAACCGCTAGTGGATCATTTTCGTACTTTAGTGATTGATTCAACCTTGCATTTGGTGATATAAGCCATTAAATAATTATTGTATTTTATTTTGGACGGCTGTACATTTCTCTGTTAAAAGGAGTAGTAGAGTTGAAAGTCCCTTCTTTTATTTTTAGTTGCAGTGGAGTTGATTCAGTGTCCTGTTAGTTGCAGGTGTACGGCAGCGTGATTCAGTCACACACAGGTGTATAAGCATCCTCTTTTGCGTGTTCTTTTCCATCGTAGTCACTGACTGTAGTTCCCTGTGCTCTGCTGTAGGGCCTTGTTGTTTATCCTGTTTCCTTTTGTCTTTAGGGCGTGTGTGTGTGTGTGAGAGAGAGAGAGAGAGAGAAGTTACGCTCTCACACGTGGAAATCACCTGCTCCCTGCGTCTCCAGCATCCCTCTCTCCTCGGCAGGCCTGTCCCTGAGACTCCAAGTAATTCTACAGTAGTTCTCAGCCATTCTCCTTTCTCTGTTTTTTCCCCTTCACTTTGGTTGAAATAAAATACTTTGTAGGACTGAAAAGGAACATGTATTCTTAGCAAGTGCAGAGAACCTTATGTAAATGCAGGTAATCTAACTGCACACTTTTTGTGGGGAAAAAAAGTGTCTAAAACGACATTTTCAGGATCAGTTGTCTTCAGTAGTGCAATTATTTTTAGGAGTTTTGAAATAACCTCCCTGCGTGTTTTGTGTTAACGCCCACAGAGGTCGAAGACAGTGCACAGTCAGAAAACGCACCTGCAGCCGAGCCCGGGCGCCTGGCGGCAGCCGAGCCCCAGCACGTGGTCCGGAGCAGCAGCACGCCTGACGTCACGGGGCCGCTGTGCCCCTGCGCGCCTCCGGGTACCAGCGCTTCCGGTACTCACGGGACCGCGGGCTCTGGCCGCGATGAAGCTGCAGGTCGTGCTGCTGTCCTAACTCTCTATTTCAAGGGAATTTGCTTCATAAGTTGATTGCAAGGATGTGATTTCTGGCAATGAAATATTTTACTACTTACTTTAATCTATTTATCTAAATTATATGTGTGTGTGTGTGTGAGAGAGAGAGAGAGAGTGTGTGCACTTTTTTCAAGCGTGGCGTGTGTGAGGACTCGAAAAAAGAAAGAAGTCCAGAGTGGCTGGAGTAGGTGGGAGACAGAGAATGTTCACCACGGGTGAGGGAGGGCAGCAGCAGGGCATGAGGGGTGAGGCCTGAGTGAAAGTCAACACTGAGAGCAGAGGCTGAGCAGACTTGTGACAGAGTTTATTAGCAGCGTGTAGGCTCTGCTGAGGTTGACAATAACAACTTGTAATCGTGTTCATCTACACAGTTCTCCAACAACTTTCAGCAGCAACAGGCGTGGGAGGCAGAGAGGCAGATGGTTAGATGTGTGAACAGTGAATAATGTATTTTAAAACGAAAGCACAGGTTTACATTGTGTTTGGTGTCAGTGAACAAACTTAATTAGGTGTAGTTTCGTGAGGTAAGAAATCAACCACGTTCTTAATGTCAGGGTCACATTAGCCTCACCAGAAGAGTAGGGAAGTCTTCTGTCTTAGAAATACTCTTGAAATAAGAAAATACAAGAAAAATAATTTTAAAATGTGTTATGTGAAGGATTTTCTATTCTCCAAAAAGCTTTTGTGTAAGATCATTATGATTTTTCCCCTTAAATTTTTGATAGAATCCATCAGCTGCCTGGTGTTTTCTTGTAAGAAGATTTTAAAGTACTGTTCAAAACTTTTAATCATTGTAAGATTATCCATACTTTCCTTTTCCTGTTTAATTTGAAAAAGTTGTGTTTTTCCTAGGAATTCATTCAATTCATGCGTTTTTCCCCCCCAGTTTTTTGGCCCCAGACTACTCAGAGGATATGATCTTTTCAGTGAGCGTTTGCAGGCTTCCTGGTGATGCTCCCTCTTCTGTACCTGACACTGGTTGTGCCACCTGTCTGTTCTCCAGTGGCGCTGAGCCTCCCCACTGCTCCCTTTTCCCGCCAGCTTTCCTGGCTGATTCGGGCAGCTCTTGTCTGAGACCCTCCCCTAGGGCCCCCGGGACAGGCCTTGTCGCCCTCCCCCACGTGAACACGTGGCAGTGAAAGCTCTCTGTGCCCAGACACCAGGTCTGCAGGGCAGACTTGACCCCCGGCTGCCAGCGTGCCGGTTTCCATGTCTTAGGATATCGAAGTATAGTAATTACCTCAGTATAAAGTTCTTTTCCAGTTTTATCATCTGAAATGTCCCTGCTGTCGATGTCCCCCGCTGATCTCTAGGGCCAAAGGTGGAAAATGCACAGACGGGGAGTTCTTCAGAGCCCAAGCCTGTTCAGGAGAACAAAGGACACGTGAAGAAAGAGCATGAGGGCATGACAGTAAGCTGTTTCCAAACTGTATTCGTTTGTCATTAAAAATAAACATAAACTGTTGGCACAGTATGTGCATTTATTAGTAGCAGTGATACTTCGTCTTAAAATTTTTTTCCACTTAGATGTGTTTTAGGGCCAAATGACCTTGAGATCTTTTAAAGTCTTGGTTGCTTTCTGTGTAAAATTAGTCATGTTACAGAAATAGAAGGAAGTGAGCATGAAAACAGAATTGCCCCCCTGGTCTGTACGTGCACTCTGTACTTTTAAGGAGGCATCCCTGCCTCTCAAACGTGCGTCGGACCCCTGTTCCTGAAGTCACTTTAAGTGGGAGCCTCCGCCTGACAGGAGTTCCTAGATAAGTGAGTTTTTGCAAACATCAGCTAGGGGTTTTTTTTATGTAAAATAGCATTTATTCTTTTTTAAACACAAATATGAAGTATAAAGAAGAAAATTAAAAAGTAGCCCTAACTCACTTATGCAGATATTTCCTATTTATTCACTTCTTAAAAATTTAGGATGTATGAATAGAAGACTCAGACATCACAGAAAGGCACAAAATAAACCAAGAAAGTCTGTCCCTTCCCTGCCTGGAAGATAACCAGTGTTCAGTGTCCTCTGTATATTTTTTAAGAGCGTGTACCAGCCTACTTTTACATGCTGTATATAGATGTATGTTATTTGTGTGTGTTTCAACAGTCAGATACACACCCACAGACTCACCACCAGCTTAGGACCCAGAATATTTGCAGCATGGCTGCGGTGGCCTGTGAGCCCTGTCCTTGTCCCCCGGAGAGCAGCTTTCTGTTGGCTTTGTGTGTATCATGTCCTCACTTTGCTCTGTGGTTTTCTCCGTATGTACGTATCTCCAAACACTGCACCCTTTAGTTTTCATTATCTTTAAACTTTGTAAAAGTGATACTATTGCTTTGTTCACTTGTTACATGGCCCTCTGTTGTTTTCTCTGCTGTATGATATTCCACTGTGAATATACCACAGTTTATTTTTCTGTTCTCTGATTGATGGAAAGTTAAGACTGTTTTGCATTTGCTTTTTTTTTCTAATGAAAAATGAAGCTGTGTACATTCTTGTGTGTGTTTCAAGATCTACACGTTTAAGGGGTTCTCTGTGGTCCTAGCCAGGAGTAGAACTGATGTTCTTTACGAGAGAATGTGTCTTTTCCAAAGTGGTTGGACCCCTTATGTTCCTCTAACAATGTGTAAAGAGTTCTCACTCATCCACTTTCTTGTCAACACTTGCTGTTGTCAGATTTAAAATCTTCTGAGTCAAGTGGGTGAAAATGGGATCTCATTTTATTTTGCATTCCTCAATTTACAGATAAGGTTCAAAATCTTTCCATGTGTTGATCGAGATCTTATGTGTCTCATCTGTGGAATACCTCCTGATGTCTTTCCACTTCCCAGTTGGTTTCTTTGTCATTTTCTCTTTTATTTGAACTGATTCTTAATATGGTCTGAATACTGATCCTATTTTGGTTATGTTTCTGGCCAATATCTCCTAACAGTGTGTGGCTTATATTTTCACTCTCTCCCTGTTGTCTTATCAGGAACAGAAATTCTTGATTTTGATATTCTTGATTATAATTTTTAGGTTATATTTTAAGAAAGTTTTAAAATACCAACTTCACAGGGATAAAAATATTACCTTGTAATTGTAGGTGTTTCAGTTTTGCTTTATCCATTTCAGTCTCTCATCCACCTCGAGTTGATGTTTATGGAGTGAGATAGGGATCCACATGGATAGCCACCTGTCCTGGGCCCCCTACATTGAGTTCATGCTTCCTTTGTTGATCTGAGTTGCTACGTTTCTCTCACATACACTGTTTCCCAGATGTGGGAGGCTTTATTTTGGTGCCTCTTGAGTCTTTGGCTACTCTTGTCTCTCTGGACCGTCCTACAGCTAATTACTGTAATCCCCCCCTGCCTCCCCCTTTCACCCCCTTCTGTGGAAGCTGTTTGTCTACTGTCTTTGTCTTTCACTGTTTCTGTGGGGAAGTCTTCTGTGCGCCCTGTGCATTAGCTGTTCTTTGTCCCTGCCCTGCAGTTCCTTTGCGGTGCACGTAGGTGCATTTTCTTTGGGTCTGCACATCTGTCCTTTGTTGTATGTGTTGTGGGCCATGCATCTGTGAATACTTGTTCTTCCATTGTTTCTGGAAAATTCTTGGTAATCATTTCTTCAAATATTACCTTTTTCTGTTCTCTCTGCTTTTTCCTTCTGGAATTCTGGGTAGAAATATATTCAGACTTTCTCATTCTGTCTTCCGTTCTCTTAAGCCCCCTTTCATAGTTTCTATTCTCCTTGGCTGTGTGAGTGCATTCTGGATAACTCATCAGATCTTTCACTCAGGTCAGTAATTCTCTCTTTTCACATAAACTGTCTGCTGTTTCATACTCCCATTGAGTTCTTTGGTTCAACAATTATACATTTTGCTTCTGAAAGTTCAGGTTCATTGTTTTCAAGTATCTCTTGTAATCTCTAGCAAATCTCCTGTTGCTTGCTCGTTTTTGTGATTCTCGTCTTTTATTCCTTTGAAATAGTCACAGATTGGAATTCTAAATTCTTTATCTGATTGTCTGAAATCCTTGGGGGGGTGCTGGGAAGGGAGTCTGAATCTGATACATGTTTTTTCTGAGAGTCTGAATCACTCATGGTGATTTATTATTTTCTTTGGTGTTTGGTGATCTTCAGTTGTGAGTTCCTAGCTGGCAAATCTTAATCTACAGAAAACCTGGATGTCTGAAGTGATAAAGGACAACATTTGCATCAGTTTTTCCCAGGAACCAGGCACAGGCAGTTCTACTGGAATCCTGGAGTCTTGGTCCTTTTGCCACTGGCATTGGTGACACTAGATTTACCCCTAAGGTAGCCCATTTCACTGTCCTGGTTTCTGTTCGTTTCTGGGGGTGGGAGAGAGTGTGGATCACTTGGAGGTTTATTTTGCTTCCAGTGAGCCCCAAATTTTTATGTAGGATCTAGTTCTATAGTTGGAGGATAGTTCGTCTCTCAGAAAGTCAGAAGAGCCTGCATTCTCCTTTTAAATTAAGGAAATATCCTGGGAAATTTTCCCATTATCACATGAGATACGTATCCTTTTTCAAGGCTGAGTAAAATTTTTTCATATGCTATTAACCTTCTAAGTATTTTATTCATGACCTACCTCTGTGTTTTAGCTTAATAATCATTCTTTTAATTATACATCTTAGCCACCCCCTTCATGTGTTTGCTTGTTTAATATTCATTCCGTTAGTTGGCTCATTGAATCCCCATGTTTTTTGTACACTGCACTGTAGGACCTTGAGTATATATTTTCATTTCTGGCTTTATTTTCTGTCTCACCAGTCGTGGGTTTTTGGTGTACACTCATAGTACATTCTCTTTAGCTGTTCATCCCAAAGATGAAAATTAAAATATTGGAAACTTTCCCAAGTTCCTCTGTCCATTGTCCATCCATCTGTCCTTCCTTCCGTCCGTCCTTCCTTTGTCACCATCATTCTCACGGACCCCTAGATTCATGTCCTTTTGTGACTTAGTTTTCTTCCATGTCCAGCTCTTGTGAAGCTCTCGTCATCTCTTGTCTGTCATCCTGCAGCATTTTCTTATTTATCATTTCTTCTCCTTTTCTACCATCGAAGCCTTACCTGCTCATTCCTGAATTCCCATTACAGTGTCCACAGCAGCTTTCTTCTTCACTCTGTCCCACAGATCGCTACTAGACATCTTTCCAGTTGTGTTTTGAGTCACAGTAAGCTGTAGACTGGAACATACAGTTGCTCATTTTGTCAGAATAGGGGTGCAGTCCCCAAGCCTGAGGCTGACGGCGCGCCAGGAGCTGCCTCTTGGGGAAGGTGGTTTGCCTCGTTTTCTCGTCGTTTCCCGTCTGCGCCCGCCGCCCCGCGTGGCCTGCTATAATCAGCTTCTTTTCCTGCACGTAGAACTTGCAGATCACCGCTCAGTGCTTCCTGCCCCGACCCCTCCTGCCTTCTCTGTGCCACCTCCTGTCTGTCGGCTCCTTGAGCAGCCCTCCTGTCACTGTCCGCCAGTGAAGGTAACGCTTTATTCCGCACACCTTTACACAGAGTTGACTTGCCTGTTCTGTCAATGTACGCTGTCATCGTTTTGTGTGATTGGTGTGCATTTTGTGTCTCTCCGAGCAAGTTGCATAAATTTCAGAGGCTGCAGATTGCCTGCCAGCGTTTTAGTCGTCTGTGTTTAACACAAGGGCCAGTGCTGAGTGGTGCTCAGGAAAGCCCATTGCCCTGTCACAAGGAAGGCACGGGTGCCCTTCAGACGTCCGGGCGGGGCTGGCGCCTTCCCTGCAGCACACGCACCGTCCGCGGGGCGCTCAGGGCTCCTGGGGGGCCGTGCGCGTCGTCCGTGTGTGCTCGAGCAGACGCACAAATAGGGCTTGAGAACAATTTCATCCCAGCGCTCGCTCCGGCAGCACATATTCTCAGATTGGAATGATACAGAGAAACTTAGCATGGCCCCTGCGCAAGGATGGCATGCAAACTCGTGCCGCGTTACGTGCTTTTTAGTTTGGGGTTTGTAGATACAACTCTGTATGTAAAAAAGATGGACCTACTGAAAGCACAGGGAACTATACTCAGTACCTTGCAATAGCCTATAATTAAAAAGACTATGAAAAGAAATACATATGTATATGTATAACCGAATCACTATGCTGCACCAGAGCTAACACAACATTGTTAATCGACCTCAATTAAAAAAGTTATTTCCAGATAACTTGGCATCTCTTCTCAGTAGACCAGTTAAATGGATGTCAGCTGACAAAGTAGTAGCCTTAAATTTCAGATCTTGAGTAATTTATAATTAAATTACAGTGATTTGTGGACACATATCCTTCAAGGGGAAATGGCATTCAGTTTTTTGTTGCTGTTTTTATTGTTTCTTTTTCTTTAGAAATGTGGGCTAGAAACTTCACAGTCCTATAAAAATGAAAACTTTCCTGTAACAAATGTCATTCTTTCTTTCTGTCTGAAGATCTTAGTCCGAAGAAGCAGCAGCCCGGCTGAATTGGACTTAAAAGATGACTTACAGCAGACGCAAGGGAAATGCAGGGAAAGACAGAAGAGTAAGTGCCAGGCCACGTGGTCGTGTTCCTCCGACTTCAACACTGACGTGTTTTGTTTCCTTGTGACTTTCTGACTTAAATGATCTGAAGAGACGTGGCTGTGAAATGGGACGTTTTTATTGTTGGGATCCCCAGGTCGATGGGGGGTTAGTCCACACATACAATAGAACAGTCCTGGTCAGGTACCTGCGCCTTCGAGGCCTGTCTCCCCACCCCGGGGCCGTTCTCCAGGTGAGAAGCACGGCCAAGGCTGATGGCTGGGCAACAGACAGACCTGGGAGGAAAAATGATCTTCCCCGCAGAGTTTCCGCAGGGTAGAGTCAAAGCTTCGGAAGTACCTTGAAGTCAGTGGTATAAATATTTAAAAAGTAATATTTGGCTGGGATGCCGAGACCTACCGCCATCCGCTGTGAAATACAGCCCTGATACTCTGCTTTCCTGAGGCCCGCTGCCAGGCCCCTCCTTCTCACGGCAGCCCGGGGCGCAGGGCCCGCAGACCCAGGGTGGGTCTCGGTGGAGGGCAGGGCAAGGCTCTCAGGCCCCTCCTGCTAGAGTCCTGGGGCGGCTGAAGTTAGGGACCTAACAGATGCGGCGGGGACGACTCTCAGTTCTCCGCAGGTGAAGAGAGGACAGCAGATTAGAAGCAGCAGGGCTGGGGGTCGGTCAGCAGCAGATTCAGAGCGCAGCCCGAGAGGAAAGGGCAGACACCTAATGTCCCTATGAAGCCTGCGGGAGACTTGGAGGAGCAGACCCCTCCTTGGAGTCTTGGGTCTGCTTTGTGGCCAACTAAATACCCTATCAGGTTGCATAGCCTTTGAAAGCATCGCTGTATCATGACAAGTTAGAACTCCCATGTTTCAAGGGGAAAGTTTCTGTTGGAGAAACTCATGCGTGGGACACCTCATACCCCGCTGGGTGCAGGTCCACACCTCGGCTCGCAGTACAGCATCCCTGGGCTCTTAGGCTGGCAGATTAAGCCTGCATTTGTGGCAGAATCAATTCCTACCCTCTTCCTCCCCACCATCTCTGTTTGTAGTTGAATAAATCACCGTAGAAAACTAAAGGACTTAGTGCGATCTTTTGCGCACACGGACCACCGGCCGCAGACCCCGTGAAGAGAGTGCCCCGGGAGTGATGTGTGCGGTGCTTGTGATGACGGCTGGCTCCCGGCGCTCGGCACCTTGGTTCCGTTTACCAAGAGCCCCAGCGGGCAGCTTCGGAGCCCTGGTCCCCTGAATGATTGTGGCTGGGTCTGCTGTCTGGCTGCTTGTGTGCTGGCTGGTGGATTCTCCGATTTCCCGTTGTCTGTCCTCTCAGACTGCTTCTCCCCTTCTGCCAGGTGACAGTGTCAGCAGTGACACAGCCCTGAGCTACAGCACAGAGGCAGAGCTGGCCCTGAGCCCGTGGCTGACCTGTGAGGAGGACCCCGAACTGAGCTCTCCCACGGATGCTGCGACTGACTCCGACGCCCGCCATTGGCTACAGCTTAGTCCCACTGATGCTTCCAACTTGACAGGTAACTGTGTCTTCGAGAAGAGGCACCAGTGTTAACAGTCGGGAGGTCCCACAGTCTCCTAGGTGCAGGGACTCCAGGGGTCTTTAGCACAGCGATGCCGGGGGCGCCCGCCCCAACCCCCGTCCGTAACCAGCTGTGAGTTCTCAGACCCCTGTGTGCAGAGGGGGCTGAGACAGCGGCTGAAGAGCAAGGAGGCCGCCACGCCAGCAACCACTGTCCAATGCAGGAGGAAGTGACTCGTTTAGCCACGACCCAATTTGCTTTACTCTGGAAAAGCATAATTTATCCAACTTACACGTGTTGTAAATCCAGGATAAGTTAAAGAATTTAAGTAGCTTATTGATTACTGTTTTCTTTAATTTTACTATAAAATATTTGATGCATGCAGGGTAAGTTGTGATACATCTGTGAGTTATGGGCCATGGTCGTAAAATGAGCCGTGGTGAGCCTGCAGCCCAGCGACAGAGAACAGCTTCCAAACCCACAAGGTTCCCAAGAGGCCCTTCTGTCATCCTGTGACCCTGCCCCCAGTGTTTTGTTTTTGATAATCATTCCCTTCTTTATGGTTTTACCATACATATCTGTCTCCTCAAACAATATATCATTTAATTTTTGTTTTAAGCTTTTTAAAAATGTTGTCATGTTCTATATTTTTTGTAACTTCCCCCCCTTGCATAGTGTATTTCTAAAATTCACGAATAGATTACAGAGCCGAACTTGCCGATGGGCATCCAGGCTCTGCCGAGGAGTTGCTGGGTGGCCTGGAGCAAGTTAATCGCTGTCCTTCAGTTTCCTTTTTGTGGAACGGGGATAGTAGCGGTCCTTACTATAGGGTTGTTGGAGGAATCAGTGAGTGGACATCCCAGTCAAGTACACAGAACAGGGGATAGGGGAGCGCTCTGCAGTTTTAACTGCTCACACGCCCACTTACACGCCCGCACACATGTGCACACACACACATCATGTGACCCTGGGAAAGTGAACCTCTGAAGGCTCGGTCCTCTCACCTGTGTGACAGGGAAGCTCAGTGTGGGAGACCCTGACCCCACGTCCTTCCTGGTCCACCGTATTCCTGGGTCCACAGACATCTTTTACGAGAACAATTCAGACAAACTACAAAGCATGTGTTGAGTAAAAGCGGTGTTAGAATGCTGAAAAGCATTTTAAAATTAGAAATAAAAACTAAAATTCTAACTTGAATATACTTTTTTTAACCAAGCAAACTGGTTTTCATTAATTACGGTGTAAAATTTAACCACTCCCTGATGTTTTTGGGAACTTCTGATGGAGTAACGTTAAAATTTGCGTATAAAAATTGTGTTGGATAACATCTTTCATCTGTGAGATAAGTAAGACTGAGAAGTATGATCTTCATGTGTGTTTAACGTACATTTTAATTAAGACTAGAGAAACAAAGGGAAACAAACCAGTTAGCTGTAAATGAGTAATGCATTGCTTTATAATGCTGTGGTGTCGTCCCTAAGCAACAGTGGACATTTCTGGTCTAAGTGTTCACACCTGCCGATGGTAGAAGCCTCGTAAAGTCAGCGAGAGAATGATTGGCAAAATCATGAGCTTAGTTTTACAGATTAGTAGGTAGGAATTTGTGCTTCTCAAATTCTTGGTTCTTTTAGAGATTATTTAAAATTCTTTATCTATATAGTGACATGTAGATATGTATAATGATTTTGAATACTACTACTATGAATTTATAAGGAATTCTGCAGTTTACAAAGAACTTGGAGGCACTCTCTTTGATTCCTATGGTAAGCAGTTCAGGTCTTAAAACTCTGTTTTATAGACGGAGAAGCTGAGACCCAGAGAAACCACGTTGCCTCCCTGGAGAGTAAGGACCAGAGCGGGAACTGGCTTCCAAAGTGTTTTGGCTCCAAATGCAGAGCTACATCTGCTCCTTTTTTCTGCGCTGCTGTTAAAATTACAGCTGCAAACCCCTTTCAACTATTTGAGAATCATTAATACATTTATGGAATAAATGGCCTCTTTGGGTCCAACATAGATTATCCAAGGGAAATTATCATGGTACTATCGGAGGCGATACTGAATTTTCCGTAAGTTGAATTTACTTCAACAAGAACTAGTTTTAATTACTTTTATTGAAAAGAAAGAAAACTGGGTGATTACCTCTTTTGTCTGTCCTCTGGAGAGATTAGTTCTGATCCGCCTCAGAGTTGCGTGGGACAGCTCCATTTAATAAACTTGTGTCGGGTAATTTTACATGATGCACTTTGGGTTGTGATTAACTCCTCCAAACACTTAGTTCTTCTTTGAAATCCTAACATAGAGAATCAGTACACTCAGTTCAATAGTTCATCTTGTCATCTGTGAAAAGGACAAACTGTAACATGATAAGGTTTAAGGATTAACACAGTTCTGAATTTAACTTTCTGTCCTTAGGAGAACAGTTTCTTCATAAATGGACAAACTAAAACTCACGTTAGCCTAATCTCTAGGACATGCAAACAGAGTGACCCAGCAATTTGCCTGTATCTCTGTTTCTCATCGAAAACCCTACCAATTATCAAATGCTTAGAATAATAAACTGCTTCTAAGATCTTAGATTCCTTTATCATTGGCAAGCTAACAGTTCTGTTCTTTATTTGCTTTCTTATTTAAGTCATTTCATGTTTTCTGAAAATACCAGCTAGATTTATTGTGTGTTGTTTCAGAAGACATCTGGCGTTTGTATGGCAGGACATGGACATGATTGTCTTGAAGGAAGGAGTTCACATGCACAGGTCCCTGTGCATGAGATGGGGCAGGGCATGCCACTCGGGCACCTGGGGAGGCAGGAAGAGACGGGGAAACATGGGCGTTAGCCTTTGTCATCATTTCTGTGGGAAAGGGGAGGCAGGGCAGGCCAGGCAGGCTCAGGACTGGCTGGTTTGGATGACTGCAGCAGACCCTGGAGCACAGACACTGGCCCTGGTCGCCTGGTCGCTGGCCCGCAGTGATCAGGGCAAGGGGGTATCTGTTTGATGGTAAGAGCCATGTAGAGGCGGTGGTTGGGAGGCCTGAATTTTGGACTGTTGAGTCTGCGTGTGAAAGACATGCTCCCTGGTGAGCTGTTCACCATCTCTAGGAGTGAGCTAACCCTGGGATAGGCAGTCCTTTCCTGTCAGGGCAGCCCCAGTGCCAGAGCAGCAAGAATACCAAAAATAAGAAGATCTGGTTAACTCGCGCATGAGTTTTATTCTGCTGAGCTTGTGATTTTCAGGGGGGAATATTTATGACTCTGTAGCTAAGAATCATTATTGCTGCTGAACTCATCTTCTATTCAGCAGATTCAGCTTATAATCTAGAAATGCTGCTTTTGATGCTGTAAGAAATGAACAGATGAGTAAGGCATGGCTACAGCTGACTTAAGGGCTGACCAAGAGGACCGAAAGTAAGGCATTTATTCTGATGAGAACAAATGATGTGATAAGTGCTAAGAGATTTATTTAAAGGGAGCTTTAATCACAGAGATAGATGAAGGGACTGGAGTATAAAATATACACTGAATCCACACAGACATGGAACTGATGCGTGAGAGGTGGCCCTCCCGGTCTGACCAGGGAGAAATGTGTTGCCCCACAAATGCCTGCGGGGCAAGTGTTTCTTCCACAGGGAAGAAAATGAAATAGAATCCCTACCCCATACCTTGCCCACTGCCAAGTGCAGGAAATACGTAAATGCAAAAAGGAAATTCCAAAACCTTTTGGAAGAAAATATCTTCTAAAAATATGTCTAAGACCTTAGGGTAAAAAAGGTTTTCTTTTCTTTTTTTCTTTTTTTCAATTGAAGTGTAGTCAGTTACAATGTGTCCATTTCTGGTGCAGTGTAATGTCCCAGTCATACATATATATACATGGATTCTTTTTCATTTTCTTTGGGAAGGTTTTGTTAGATGAAAAAAAATTCTAACTATAAGAGAAATGTCAATCACTAATTTAACTTCAGCACAATTAGAACTTGACTTTCATCATGGAAGAAACTTTAAGCGTCCCAGGTCAGCGGAACCTGGAGGGTGAGCGCCAGCCCTGGCGCTCCTGCCTTCCCAGGCCGCCATCAGATTGGTGGTACGTTTTAAGAAAAGTTTCCGTAAGAAGTGGTTTCCAACATTTTACCTTTGTCGGGAGAGGCTCATTGGGTGCCTCTGCTGCAGGATAAGCTCCGGGAGGGGGACTGTGGCTGGTTGTCTCCACAGCTGCTCCTGGCTGCTGGAACGGTGCCCGGCAGGAGAGGAATGGTCAGTACGTACTTGAACCAATGACTGAAGAAGCTTTAAGCTGCAGGCTGTTGTTCGATTTAGCTAAAAACAGCAATTACATTTTAACCTTTAAAAATAAGATTCAGTTTCAAAATCTCTTTTATTTAGTATGTTTATCACAGACCTGCCTCTAAGTGTCATCACGGAAACCTTTTACCACTTCTGCTTTTGATTACGGCTTCTCCTTTTAATTTTCACCATTACCTGCCACCAAAACTGTTTTTGCAGGAATTGTTTGTCTGCGTTCTCTGCCATCGCATACGTTTTTGGCGTTTTCACCAGACTTTGATCTGCTTTGAAGATAGAAAATGTTATCACGAGAAGTGATGATGATAGGGATCATGTGTTGCTCACGTTTGAAATCTTTAAAATGGGTGCTGTGTGTCCCCGGCAGGCAGACGAGGCCGGAGAGGAGAGTGGGCCACCATGGGCACCGGCACGCCACCTCGCCGGTCTCCTCTTTGGATCAGCAAAGTCTAGGCTTGATTTTTCTGGTCCCAGAATCAATCATTGTGTTTCCATTGAGCCTTTGGGTTGGTGCCTTTGGTTTAGTTTTCAAGTTAAAGGGAAAATCATTTCCAAGGCCCTGGCTGTGTTTCCTCAGCGCTTTCCAAGCTGCATAACACTGTTGCCACATGAAGTCGCCGTGTGGTCACAGGTGCCTGTTGTCCTAGTTACCAAGACTTACTTCACGGCTAAAAGCCTTTGCAGATTTGCAAAGTTCAGAACTTTATGTTGCTCTGTGGAAGTCCTGTATGTGTTTGGAGGAAGGTGATATAGTTTTATTTGTTGGCAAGGTTACCCACCTTAATTATTTTTTTAATGTCTCTGTAACAATAATGACCCAAGAAGATACTAGGCTAGCATACCGGCTTGCTCATGAGACAGAGGAGAAACTAAGTCTTTGGTATTTTTAAGGCAAACGTGGGATTTCCTGCAATCTCTCAAATCCCGATTTTTAATTAAGTGCTGCTCCGCTGAGGGACCGTCCACATGTGAAATGTCAGCATCTGTTCTGTGGCTTCTGTCACTGGTGGAATCATTTTGGGCAAAAACATTTCGAGTTATTAAAATATTTTTTTCATAATAATATTGGGCATGTAATCATTCCAGATACTTTTAAAGGACTCCCTGTGTTTTGCTGACATGATGGAGGATGTTGCGTAGATTGTACCACTGAGGTGGACGTTTCTCTGAGAGCAGAGTGGCGCCGAAGCAGATCTGTTATGAGGGCTCCTTCCATGGCGGACACTGCGTTGGGTGGCAGGTGGCAGGGAGGCAGGTAGCAGGGCGCCTGGCCCAGGTCGCTCAGAGCTGTCACTCAAGGGAAGTCCCAGCGTGGCCAGAACTCTGCGGGCTCGTCTCCGTCTCAGGTGGCTGCGTGTCAGGGGTGACGGTTGGGGTGAAACAAAGCCGTAAGTCATCTAACCCCCTTACTTTTCTCTTTGTCACCGCCCAGGGGACTTAGCGGCCTCGTGGCGCTCTTCAGGGGAAGGATCGATGCTGCTTGATGCTGCTTGCTCCCTTGCAGGCCGAGTTGGTTTGTAGGGCTCACGGGGGCTTCAGCACACCCTCCCAGACTGGCAGGCTGGGTACCGTGCCCCCTTTGCAGACTGAACGTCAGGAGGACGAGCCTCTCTGTGGGGTTTTGTCAAAGGCAGTGAGCCCAACAGGCGGGGCCCCAGGCTTTTGTGGGCCCTGCACGCGCCAGCGCGGGAGCTCGGCCTGGCACGCCTGCGTCTGCCCAGCGGGTTCCGTGACACCCATGTGGGGAGTACAGACGTGTCTTGCTCTGAGAGGGAACAGTGCTCCTGGGTTTGGGAAGGCCTGACCCCATGCGCCATCCTCATTAAATCCTTGGTTTCCGTGTCTTGGGATCTTTCCGTAACTACTACAGTAAGCCACTCGCGGCCGTCACGGGCGCGAGCTGCAGGCACGCGGAGCCGTCCCTGGATCTGCCCTGTCTCCTGCCACACTCACTCCTGCCCCTCGCTGGCTCTGGTCATTCCTTGACGTGGGTTCCTCCCATCCATGGATGGTGCCTCCGTTTCTGTGATTAGGCCTTAAAAACCCCACAGCGTCAGCCCCCAGCGTGATGCTCCCGGTGGTGGCAATTGCCTGCACATGAGTCCTCCTTCATTTGTAGGGGGTGAGGAGGACAACTTTGGGAACGATTGTGTCAATAACGGGGGTGGGGTAGGTGAGGGGGATTGGTGGGTGGTGGGACACAACTCTTTACACCCCGAGCAGAGACTCAAAAGAGAAGCAAAGCCAAGGTGGGTTAAACCCAAACCCTAAAGTAGGTTGTAACTCAGCAGCTGCAGCAAAGATAAAACGGCCTGAACTCGCAGTTAGCGTCAGAAACCCCTGGGTTAGGCTGAAGCAATAAAGTGCAGCCGTGTGACGTTTACAAGAGGTCACCTGAATACACAGGGGAAGACATAAGTGTTGATAGAAGGGAAGGAAGGCGGGCCACCGGTGCAGCTCTGTGTGGTCAGCCACGTAAACTTTAAGGCAGAAATCATCTATTAGTGACAGCAGTAACTCCAAACTTACATGAAGTTCAGAGCCTCCAGCTGTATGGAGTAAAATTCGACAGAATTGAAGGAACTACTGATAAAACCATGATCATAGTAGGAAATTTTAATATCAGCTCTCATTAACTGATGAGTTAAGCAGAAAAAATATTGGAATAGAGAAGACTTACACAATACGGTTAACCTTGATTGAATGGAGAGCTTTGGATATAAAAAATTTTGAAGTTAGTTTAAAAATACCTGTGATTTTTTAAAGCACATGGAACATTTACAGAAATTGACCAATTAGATCATTAAGCAAGCCTCAACAAATGTCCATGATTTGAAACTGTATTATATTCTGTAAATGTGATGAAATAAACTAAGAAGGACAAAAAGAAAAAGAGAAGAAAAATACATTAAGAAACTGAAAACTGCATTTCAGATAAATTAGGTCCAAAAAAAATCAAATTTTGAACTGGAAAATATTTCTAACTGGACTACAGAGAAATGTAGCTGAAAACTTACATAGAGGAAAATATATGGCCTTAGGTGTACATTAGAAGCAAAGAACATTGATCTATGTTTCTTATTCAAAAAATTGGGAAAAGAATGACAATAATACATAGAAGTTGATTAAAAAAAAGCCCCAATAAGGCTAAGCACACACACAAATACTAGGGAGCAGTAGGGAAAACAAAGACCACTCTGCAGAGACATTCAGAAAATAGACAGTTAGGCAAGATTGACCCCAGAAAACATACTGGAGGTGGAAAAGGGAACAGAGCTACAGAAGCAGTGTACAATTTAAAGCTAATACAGTAGGTTAATTCGAATAGACATAAAAATAAAGGACAATTCCCAGTTTTACTGAAGCTTCAAATAAAAGAGAAACTCTCTCTTTCAACCTGTTGTAGACACAGGAAAGAAAGGAAGCTCCCTAACATCTACTGTTTACCTTGTGATACCTCAGTGATAAAACCAGACAAAGTATTAAAAAAGGAAAATTAGAGTTTATCTCACTTAAAAGCATGTAAGCAAAAATCCTAAATAAAGCATCAGCGAACGAAATCCAAGAATATTGGGGAAAGATCATACATCGGGTAAGACAGTTTCTCTCTAGAAATGCAAATGTGAAAGCAAAAGAGTAACTAAGTGACTGAGTGATCTGTCATGACAAATCCCGGCTGAACAACATTGTGCAGAGTATCTGATCGGTGCCCCTCAGAACCGTCAAGCTCATCGAAAACAAGGAAAGTCTGAGAAACTGTAACAGCCCAGAAGAGGCTAAGGAAACATGACAGATACATGTGATCTGGGTAGTGTCTTGGAACAGAACAAAGACTCTAGTTTGAAAACCAAAGTGCTCTCAGTGACGTAGGGGCTTTATAATAACGTTTCAGTGTTGGTTCGTTCGTGACAACGAGCACCACATTGCTAAGATGTTAGTAACGGGGAAACCGGCTGTGGGTTACATGGGCACTCTGTACTATCTTTGCAATTTTTATAAGTCGAAAACTGTTCTTAAAAAAATGAAGTATATTTTTAAAAAAGTGATTCCAGAAAAAATTGTTGAACAGAAAATAAATGTATTAAAAGTAAACAAAAATATGATCAACTAAGAACATGAAGTAAGCTCAAGAAATGAATGACAGAGGCATTTAAAATGCCTTACTAATGCATCTCCAGTCAAAGATAGCAGAATGGACAGACACAGAGAGCCCCGCTTGTGCCCTCAACCCCACCCAGGTCACAGTAAGGATGTGTGTGAAGTTAGACGTAGATACCCCAGGGCGTCGATGGCAGGAGGAAAGCAGCACATTTTCCAAGTAGCAAACGGGTGACACAGTGACGGAGCCCTGGACCCTGTGTCAGTAGTGGGGGAAGCCAGGACGCAGCCTGAGGACGGTTATTGCGGGTTCCCTGAAATGACCTGAAGATGCCCCTACGAGGTCCTTCAGGAGTGGGAGGTAATGGCGGGGCTGGAAACAGAAGGCTATTGGTAAGTCTGTTTAGGAAGTTGTTAGAACTTCACCCCAAAAGATGAAGAGAGAAGAATAAAGTTTATTTAGAGTAATGCTGTTGGGCAGACAGGCAGGGCTTCTAAAACATACCATTTAACTGGTATATGGTCAGGCTTGAAGCAAAGCAGTCAATAAACCAAACTTGCCTTTTTTCATGGCCACATTCCCCACCCATCCTACTCAGGTCCTCCTCCCCCTCCGCTGCTTATGAAGCCCGTCGCAGGGTCTCCAGGAACAGCCCTGTCATCTCTGGGTGCTGCCCTTCTATGGAGCAGTCGGCCCCCTTGGACCTTTCCCCGTCCACTCCCCTGTCCTGCCCAGTTGTCGGCCGTTTCACACCTGGTCTTCATTATTTCGCTCTGAGTACACATGTTTTCAAGCGGAGGTAGCTTGCATGAAAGGAAAAAACGTTGTGATGATGAAATCAAAGCTGTGTCCACGGGGCTGACACGCGTTTTTCTCCGCAGATAGCAGCGAGTGCCTCGCCGACGACTGCAGCATCGTCGCCGGGGGGACCCTCGCCGGCTGGCACCCAGACTCCGCCGCCGTGTTGTGGCGGAGGGTCCTGGGAATCCTCGGGGACGTGAATAATATCCAGTCACCCCAGATCCACGCCAGGGTTTTCGGCTACCTCTATGAGCTCTGGTACAAACTAGCCAAGGTACGCCCTGCTGTGTTCCTTCTTATTCTAACGTGCGAAAATCGATCTATTGCTTACTGTAAAAGCCGTACTGCACGTAACTTCTCAACATACTCTGGAACAAAAAAATGTGCTTGTTTAGACAACGTACGTTTGCTTACCAGAGAACAAATGATAATACTTGCAGTTTGGTCATTTTATAAATGCCTAAGAGTTATTTCATTTCATGCATAAGTAGACTGTGCTATAGGATGGTTGAGAATGGGATATTATACAGTAGTTTTAGTTACTGGCTTTATAAAAGCCACACTGGCTTTATTGTACAAAATTTGAAAAATGTAGAAAAATGCTTAGAAAGTAAACCTCACCGTCCACAGAGTAAACCGATGTTAATATCTATTCTTATTTCTGTGGATAAACACATTTTTACAGACGTAGAATCTTAGAGTACATACAGTTTTCATTCTGCTTTTTGCTTTTGTTTGTAACATGCATTTCCCCCAGGTTACTACCTTTTCTACCTTTTTTTTTTTTGCGGAAACATGATCCGTGTTTATACAGTAAAACTTGTGAAACCATTCCTTATCATTTGGAGTTCAGGTCGACCTCTCCAGGCATCAAGATCCAAGGAGAAGCAATACCCTTGTTCTATATTAAATCTAAAACCCCACACAATTCAAAAAGACAATGGAGCTCATGATAGAAGAAAAACTCGTCTAACTATTGTAGCTTCTCACTCAACTTGCAGAAATTTAATTGGAAGCAGCTATTTGACCGTGGAGCACTATACTGAAACATGACTGGGGTGGACTGTGTTGCCCTCCCTAAAATTCTCCTTGTCACGCACTAGATACGGGACAATCTAGCAGTGAGCCTGGATAACCAGTCTTCTCCGTGTCCTCCCACCCTGACCCCTCCGCTCAGAATGTTTGCGTCATGGCTGTTTAAGGCAAGTGAATATGTGTTTGTTCCTTTGTTGTGATTTCCTCTTCCTCTCTGAAATTGAGTTTTAAAAAATGTAATTGCCCTCGACTGCATGTTTTGAAGACAGGCTGGGTCTTACTCAAGCCAGCGCCTCCCCCACCTCCATAAACAACTTTATGCAGAACTGAGAAGTAGATGAAAGGATGAAACGCATCTGCCTCTGGAGTTGATTAAATCTCTCCACGTCTCCTTGGCAGGCGACGACTTTGCCAAAGGAGTATAAGGAAGGCAAACTCCAAGCCTACAAGCTCATCTGTGCCATGATGACCAGACGCCAGGACGTGCTGCCCAGCTCGGACTTCCTGGTGCACTGCTACCTCGCCATGCACCTGGGCTTAACCAGCGACGACCAGGTAGCCCTGACGCCCTCCTCAGGGCAGACTATTATTTGGAAAGTGCACGTCACTCTGCAGGTTTAATTGTTGGGGTTTGTCAAGGCGCCTCCGAAATGTTGAAATCCCCAGTAGTTTCAGCCGCTCCACACACCGCAGCAGCAGTGGGCTTTCGGACACGTCAGGCAGACGTCTCCCATCCCTGCGGGTCTCGCTGCTGAAGTGCTGACTCTGCGCTTCACCAGCCAGATCTGAATTTTACCCTGCGGTCGGCCCACTTCTCACCCCTGCCTGATGTCAACCTCAAAATGATTTATCTCAACCGCTTTTTGTTGCGGTTTGACATTAGATATTATTGGAAGACAATGATTTGGGTCATTTAAAAATGTTTGAAAACTATTGTTTTAGGAGTTAGGAGGTTTTTG